TCATCACTCCACTTCATCATCTCTGCCTCTATCTCTAGGTAGGGTCCCGCTCTCTGCTCTTCTCCGTTGATGGTCCTAGAGACCTCCACTCCTAGACTGGAGAGTTAATCACTCCCTTCCTTGCTATAAAACGTCTACCTTTACATTTCCAATCCTCACAATCAGTCCTGATAACAATTATTCACTATTGTATCACAAGTGACCCATCAACATGCAGTACTTTTATAAAGAGAAAATCAACTAAAATTAAAAACTCCTGTTTCAGAGCATTATTTAAGTGTAAATAACCAGGATCACATCCATTCCTCTTACCTCTTTGTAGTAGCTTGTGGGTTTTATATTTAAACGTTTCATAACATTTTCCTTAGTGTTATATTGATATAATATGTATCTATTTGGGAAGTCCTGGTGTGGCACTGTGGGATAATGCACTGGATGGCAAGGTTGACTTGAACTGCATGGTTGGCAGTTCAAATTCAGCAGCCTAGGAAGTTGGAACCGACTCAGTGGCACTTAAACAGTAACAACATATCAATTTGACAGCTAACCTCAAGGTTGGTGGTCCAAATCCATCAGCTACTCCTCTGAAACTCGACATAGGGTCACTATGAATTGGAACCGGCTCATCGACACTTAACAATAGTATGTTTATTTCATGGCATAGCTTATATATGTGTGTATATATATATATATCCCGCCCCAAGTCCCTTCCAGTTTCCTGCTGCTCAGGCCCTCCCAGCTAAGGTAGCCCCCTTACTTACAGGCTTAAATAAAGCCCCTTCCACTCTCCCATCAGGGTCCCCCAAGCAGAGTCTTCCTTGTCTTGCCTCCCCTTTTGGTGGGTGGACAGCTCCCACCCTTGGACCACAGGTTGGGGTCTAGGTGTGTGTGGAGGGTCCCAAGCCTCGAGCCACTGACCCCAGGCCCCTCCTTCTTCCGCCGGGGTCACAGTTCCACACGCAGGATCACAGCCCCCTCCCTCGGTCGAGGGTAGTGTCGCCCGCCACAGGTTGGGGTCCCAGAGTCCCTAGCCCCGCCCCCGAGATCGGCGGCCCCTCCCCTCGGCCCAGGATGCCGGTCTGGGGGGCCCCGGGCCCGCCTCCCGAGAGCTCAGACTCCTGCTTCAGAGAGCTGGCATTCGAGGGGCCTTCGTCCAAGGCTTCGGATGACTGGCCGTCCTCATCTTCGTTCTCATTCTCCCAGCAATCCGCGCGGCCGTCGACGGGCGGCCGAGAGGCGGAAAGGCCGCGGCTGCGCCAGGTCCCGAGGAGCGGCATGGCTGCCGCCTCGCTACTGGAGGCGGGCCTTGCCCGGTTGCTCTTCTACCCGACGCTGCTCTACACGCTGTTTCGCGGGAAAATGCCGGGCCGGGCCCACCGTGACTGGTACCACCGCATCGACTCCACCGTGCTGCTCGGAGCACTGCCACTGCGCAAGATGACGAGGCGGGTGAGCCGGCGGAGACGGGCCGCGCCGGGTCGCGCGGGGCCTGGGAGCGGGGCGAGCGCGGCCAGCGCTTCCTGCCAACCGCCGGCCGTTTCTGAGCCCTCTCTCTCCTCGGCAGCTGGTTCAGGACGAGAACGTTCGCGGGGTGATCACCATGAACGAGGAGTATGAAACCAGGTTCCTGTGCAACTCCTCCAAGGTGAGGGAGGCCGGAGGTCGCGGGGAGGAGTTGGGGGGGGGGTTGCCGCCGGCCAGCCCCCCGCTCAGAGCCTGGAGAGCTGGAGGAGACTGGGAGAGGGGCGCTGCTGGTCACCAGAGACTCACTCCTCCGCAGGATCCTGACCTTTAAGCTTCCATGGTGTGGGCTGGAGATAGGATAGAAACTAGCTACCTACCAAAGGAGCGTTCTTCGTTTCCGACTGTTGCTTAATAAAAAATACAAGTGGATGGCTTTAAAGAGCAGGACCTTGTTTTGTGTCCTACAAGTCCAACTTAGCGTGGGCTCTTGGGGAGAGACCTTCCTTGTGGGGTAGGCCCAGGTGCCCTCTTGCTGCTTGTATATGCATCTTCCAATGGTATGTGTCTTCCTCTTTCTATAAAACACCGTTCAGAAGTGGTCATAATTAGGACCCATCCTATGCTAGCTAATATGACCCCAAGAACACAAAACTCTCTTCCAAACAGGGTCACATTTGTAGGTTCAGGGCCTAGGACTTCAACATAGATTTTGGATGGACATAAAGTTGACAAAATCTGTTTGCGCATTTGTGTACAAATTTAGTCTTAATTTTGGTAACATAAATCAATAATTAAAAAAAAACAACAACTCTTCTATGGTTTGCTGATTTCATTTATGCAACAGTTTCTGAGCACTAAGTATGGCTCAGGCACTGCGTTAGGCATTCAAAATGAAGGCCTTGCTAATTGTCGGAGGAAAGTAAGACATTCCTAACACACACAACGGGAATACATTTAGCATATAACTAACAACCCATTGAAAAACTGCAGAGGGTTCATTTGGCTCCGATTTGGGGAACTTTTTATTCATATGTTAGAGATCATAGTGGAACAGCACAAAGTTCAGGCCCCAAGCCAGGGCTTCCATGTCTCATCGGATTCAACCCCCTGCTGAGTTTTTGCCTTTCCACTCCAAATAAACTGAATTAGAATCTACAAGTTTTAACAAGATCCTCTGAACAAGGAGTTGAATTGGAATGAACCTGTTGGAAGCCCTGCTCAAAATTGTACTTTCATGAAATGTGTGACTCCTTATTTGTAGAGCCTTCCACACTAGTTATTACAGCACATTCTATGTAGTATTGGACTTCTATTAGTATGAAACCGTTCTTTCTTGCTTTCCCTACTGATGTGACTTACCCAAAATGCTATTTTTAAAATCCATCTGAAACCTTAAAAATACTTGTAACTCACATTTAAAATACATAAATTAGGCATTGTTGTTAGATGCTGTCAGGTTGGCTCAAATGAAATGAGACCCTATGCACAACAGAACAAAACACTGCCCAGTCCTGTACAATCTTCACAAATGTTTGAACCCATTGTCGCTGCCACTGTGTCACTCCATCTTGATGAGGGTCTTCCTCTATCTGAGACCCTCTACTTTACCAAGCATGATGCCCTTTTCCAGGAACTGGTCTTTCATGATGCCATGTCCAAAGAACATGGGACAAAGAAAACAAGATCCTTCAATATGCTGCCTGCAAAAGACACATCTCACACACAGAGACAAAAACTGATTAAAAATCAAAATATGGGGAAAAAAATATACCAAGCTAATTACAATTTAAAAAAAACGAACAGGAGTGGCAGTACTAATCTCTGATAAAATAAACTTTAAGGCAAAAAACCAGCATAAAGTGGTCGGGTCCCCTCGGTGCAAACCCCCTTCCAAGACTAAGACTCAGTGGGAATACATGCTCTGATTAGTGACCATTCTCGCCACTGATAAGGGGAAGTGAGGGAAAAACAGCAATGAAGCTGTGAGCTAAGCCCTACAATGTTCAATAGACTCCTGTGAACCCGAGTGGAGATCTGGTTGGCCAGCAGTGTGACAAGACCTGGGGACTCTTGGGCGCAGAGTCAGTGATATAGCCACAGAGGACTAGAGTAGAGATTGAAGCAGCCCGCTGATAAGAGAGGGCATATGCACAAGAACACCCTTATGTGCAGATAATACCCACTTGATCTGGCTTCAATGACTGGATGATCAGAGCTCAACCAGAAGGAGACAGAAGAGGAAAAAAAAAAAAGTAATCTGAGACAATTTGATGAACTTGACCTACACCTATGGAAGCAGTAGCTCAAAAGAGGGAACAAGTCCTTATAGCAAGGATCATTCCCATTCCCTCCACACACAGCGTAGACAGGGATGGGCAACTTGGATATTGGCTACCCAAAATTGGGGGGAGGGGGCATACAAAGGCAAGAAATGACTGGCTTACAAGCTTTCAAGGGGGAACCTAGATCCATAGGGCGTGGGGGAAGGTAGAATCTCCAGTGAGTAGTATCCAATGTGTCTGTGCAGGGCTGATGAAATGTAATGTGGATAGGTCTCTTGTGATACAATAGTGAATAATTGTTATCAGGACTGATTGTGAGGGTTGGAAATGAAAGGGTAGACGTTTTATAGCAAGGAGGGGAGTGATTAACATTTCAGTCTAGGAACGGAGGTCCCTGGGACCATCAAGGGAGAAGAGCGGAGAGTGGGACCCTACCCAGAGAAGCAGTGATGCCTGAGAC